TGTGTGTGTGTGTGTGTGTGTGTGTTTGCCTCTCTCTTTCTCTGTCTCTCGGTAGCACAACTACTACCATCGGGTGGTCTCGTGGTCTGGAGGTTTGATGTTCGCCTCTCATTCAATAGGTCCCGGTTTCGAAACCTGACAGCGACAGATAATTTTCACCTCTAAATTTGCCTCCTTTCACCTCCTTTCCACATCTAACCATGTTCTGTCGTCTGCCTTCGTCTCCACTTTCTGCCCCCCACCCCGACCCCCTTTGCCCCCTCCTCTGGGCCCTAACTGTTTCTGCAGCCTTTCTACTGCAACTCATTTGCCCCTAATTCTTACTGATGTCTTTCAGCCACACCCCTGATCTTAGTGTAGGTAAGATCTAACAGCTTATGATATCATGAAGTTGCGAGGACAGTTAACAACAAAAAAAGAAAAAATAGAAGAAAAAAAAAGCAGCAAACAAAAAAACAAACAAACTAAAGACAGCAAAAAACAAAAAACATTTTTAAAAAACCCAAAACAAACAAACAACAACAACAACAACAAAGAAACCAATACCTCCGACCTTGTTGAGCTGGAGGTATGGGTGTTCTTGTTTTAGTACTTGTGGTGGTCGAGCCTTTTCCTCGATTATTTCCCTTCATTTCCAGTCCTTTCTTCACGAGTCATTGGCCTACAATACCGTATCGCCTCCCAACTGAAATGTGGGATACGGGACCAATCATTGTTGATTTTGAAGGTAGAACACCCAGTCACCTTATCAGAGGACTCCTCATTCATGAAGTAGATTCAATGAAGTATTTCATCAACAGCAACCCTTTAAAAATGCCTGGGTAAGGTAGACAATGACATAAAAAGGTGTAACTATACAACAATGAACAGAACAACAGAAAAGCCGCTTTAAATAAATAAGGAAAAACAAAACAAGCAAGGAGGTTTTTTTGCAAGGAGGTTTTTTTTTTAAATAGGGGAAATGTTGCGATTCCTTGTATTCCCTAGGAAACATTTATTTAATTAGATGTCATGAAAATGATGATCTGACCAGAAAAAAGAAAAATAAGAAAATGAGGGCTTGTCGTAAAAGTGCGGGTCCATAATGTGGCTCGAACTCTATAATAATATATTGGTCTGTCATGTGCATAATAAATTAGTTAACAAATTTATTCTAGTAAATCGAATCAAACTTAAGAAAACAAGTCACTTAACTGCTAACTATAATATTATTTCTTGA